CACCCCCCTACACACACCTGGAAGATTGGATCAACCGCAATTCCTCTTTGGATCAACTTTCCATTTACTCCTAAGAAGCCAAACCAATACCTCCAAATGAATCGTTTGGTCTTAGGTTTGACATTCAGATGCCAAGTTGATTTCCACATGTTCTTCCACCAGTTTGCTCACTAGTAGGTTTGTAACCATTAGATCATTGGACAATGTTCCGAGCTCGGTAAGTCACCCTCTGGAAATAACATGCGCCACTCGGCTTGTTCGCCGCCTATAGGATAGCAATAGCATCGGGAAAATGAGTTCATCTCTGGCTTCCATGATAGTCTTATACACTGCTTTTGTTGAGAATTCACCCTTCTTGCTTCCATGCCGAATCAGTTTGCCTTTCTTTCTTTGAGGAGATAAAGGAATTTTCATAATTAAATCAGCATGCAGAAGATCCAAAGTTTGTAAAATTAGCTCTCCCCCTCCCTTGATCAACTCACTCACCATCCTAACTCTACTCTCGTCCCCCCAAAAAAACAACACCTAGGATTGAAAGAAGCTTTGTTTGGGATCCAAGGGGAAACACAAACAATTATACCAGTACCATCCTCCACTTCAAACCTAGCTGCTAGATTCAGAGAACCTCTGGCACTAAGCAAGCTTTTCCAGAGCCAAGAATCACTATTCCTGGCTTTCACATCCCATACTACAAATTCAAAAATATTTACCTTTTAAAACCCTACTTACTAACAAATTAGGAAAAGTTAACAATCTCCATAACTGTTTGACCAAGACAGATCCATTGAAGACCCTATGATCCCTAAATCCCAACCCCCATCATCTTTAGCCTTTTTTAACTTTCCCCACTCAGTCCAATGCACTCTATTCCCACCCTTATCATTCTTACCCCACCAAAAATTCACAATGCCCCTACCGTTTTGATTAATTATTTTGATAGGAACTCTAAAATAGAATATCACATAAATGGAAAGGACACTCAACACAAATTTAATTAAAGTCTCTCTACTTGAATCACTTAGAAACTTATTTTTCCATCTCATGACCTGCGATCTCACACTCTCACTAACAAATTGGAAATTGTCTTTCTTAGATCTCCCAATGCCTAGTGGTAATCCCAGATATCTAGAAGATTTCACTCTGTTGATACCAGACACAATTCTGCAGATTTGCAACTGGGTTCCTTCAGAAGTATTTTTGGAAAACAAGACAGATGATTTATCAAAGTTAACAACCTGACCAGAGTCATGAACATAATAATTGTAACTCCCTAATATTCATGACAAAATTACATTAGTAACCTTAGAAATTAACTATAATGTTGAGTATTTTTGGCAATTCAATTTTTTTCAAGCAACAACTCTTCCTCTTAAAGAAAAATAGAATAATATATTGTTCCTAAAAAGATGGGTCTTCTTAGATATATAAATCATATCGGATGTCGTTTATTTAATAATCTTAAAGATTTAGTCAATCAAGAGAAATAGAATAATATATTGTTCCTAAAAAGATTGGGTCTTCTTAGATATATAAATCATATCGGATGTCGTTCCTAATCGCATAATTCGGGCTAAGTCATGGTCAAATTGGACCTATTTTGGGTGCCACATCATAGTCAAAACTCACAACCCTCAGTTTTTAATCATGACTCTGACGAATTGATACAATATTTTTTTCGACTGCAATACAATTCTCCAGTTTGTTAAACAATTTACAGACTTCTATCGTACATACACGTGTCATTCATCCAATGCGATTCTTCAAATTGTAAAACAATCGATAGATTTCAATCATACATACACGTGTCATTCATCCTATGCTCGAAACAAAATGGGGACCAAAGAAATCTCCCGCCCAACAAAACAAGATTCCATTCACATTGTGCATGCGGGCTCATCCAAGACAACAAGGCCTCATCTACTCCTATAAATATACTCACTTCTCGCAACAATTCTCATCTTGAAGTAAAAATAAAACATATAATTAATTGTCCACAAGAACACTAAAAAATGCCGACTACTCTCCATCTCCTCACCTTCTCAATATTCCTCTTTCACCTCACCATCACCTTTTCCTCATCAACTAGTGCATCATCTTCTTTTTCTCCATCCTTTGCTCAAACCCAATTAAAGTTGTGGTCCCAAAATGTGCAAAACAAGATGCCACCATCCATCTCCACAAAACTCTCACCACTCACCCGGCACGACTCGGACCACTACACCACGGCCATAACATCACGAAACACGTTCAAAGCCGATCCCAAATTTTGTATGCTAGCGGGATTAGTGTGCTCCACGGGCGGGGCCCGCGTGGTAAACGTCTTGAAAGAAGGGTATAGAACCTACGGCAACACGAACCCAAAGCAAACGGCGGTACCCCTTGAGAAAGTCGACCCGTCCTTGTTCTTCAGGCTTTCGGCCCTTAAGGAGGGAAACTCGATCCGCCTCTCCGACCTCAAGGAGTCCCTACCCCACCGCGCATTTCTCCCGGCTCAAATCGCGTCCAGGATTTCCCTGGCCACCACAGGTTGGGATTGGCCGGATTTTAACATGCATGGCCCACCCATATATATACATAGTTATTATTTTTATAGTTAAGGTTCTTTTAACAATTATAATAATTACGATAATTGGTTTTAAGTAATAATTCGAAGTGGTTTTATAGTTCCTGGATTTAGATTTACTCCAGTAATATATTAAGTGTTCTTTTATATTTAACAAATTTCATCACCACTTTAATTTAAATGGAGTATTTATCATTACAATATAATTTGGGATCACTTAAAAATGTAGATGGCGTGACGAGAATATTTCCGGACTCGGCCACCGATGCAATTGAGACCACAATCGCCTACTGCAACGCAAAGAACGTGAAGGGAGAGTTCAAAACGTGCCCGAGGTCACTGGAGGAGATGATCGGCTTCTCGAAAACCGCACTGCACACGGAAAAGCTTCTCATTCTAACTTCCGAGAGCACGAGAGGGTCGGGAGAGAAGCTCGTGATCAAGAATATTAAGAGGTTCGACGCGGAAAATATTGTGGCTTGCCACGAGATGTTCCTTCCTTTTGCGGCCTACTTCTGCCACTCCCTGCCCTCGACTCGGGTTTACTCTGCGGACCTTGTTGATGGAAAGACAGGCGCTCGGGTCAACACTGTAGTGGGAGTGTGCCACATGGACACGTCGGGTTGGCCCGCGGATCACGTGGCGTTTCGGGTTCTCAAGTTTGGGCCGGGGCAGGGGGAGGCTTGCCATTGGTTGAATGAGATTGATCTTGTGTGGATTGCCGCGTAACTAATTTGCAGTTTACGTTTTTCTGTGTAATGTGTGGGCTTTCTTAGTAAGTTGTGCTTGTGTTTCGATTTGTGGCAATAAGGGGGAGATTCCTAGTAAGCCGGATCTCCGTAATGTGTGATTCAGTGTTTGTTTTGCTAGCTGCTTTTGATTCCTTGTTTAAGATAAGTACTTGAATGTCTAAGTTGGCAGTAGGGGTTTGTGATCTTTGTTTCATATGTAGTAGTTACTCATTCACAAATTTCCAAACGAGTTTCCTTTATGGAATTTTCCCGAAAGTTCCATCTTAGGATTTGTATTTGTATCCTTCCCTCTTCGATCTCTCTCGTTTCTATTTAAAATGAATGTCTTCTGGTTTGGATTTTCTAGTGTTTCGATTTTTCTTGTTTAGGAATGGGTAGGTGTTTGTTTGCGGAGTCGGGAGTTAGGGTATTTACTTGCTTTTGGGCATTTGCTACTCTCGTTCCTTTTGCGTTTTGTTCTAGGCTTCGTTTCTTCTTAGCCGCTTCCCCTCGCTGGTCTTCTGGTTCGTTTTTGTTTAGGACTTTTAGGGTAGCTTCAATGTAGCAAGATATCCTAGATAAGCTACAGAGAAGGATGGAATATCCACAACTTTACTTTAAAAGGGTCCCAACACAACAAGTCGAGGCAACATCAAGAGTTCCAAGTCCACAGTTTTACAAATTTTTCCACTTTTTAAATATCCACAACTTCACGAATCTACAAGCCAAAGAGGGGTTTGGATCGGCTTTAAGGCCTAGGTCGCGGTTGCTCTCGGCACGGCGTACTCGCGCTCGGTGATTTGCAATTGGTCACGGGCAGAAGCTCGGCACGGTTTCTCCTATGCTCTCGTTTTCTGACTTTCTTGCCGTTGGTCTTGGATCCCAAAAGTCTCGGCAGTTTGCCTCGACTGCTGCTCCCGTGTCTCCTCGGTGGTGTGCTCAAGGTCTTCGGCTATTTGCGCTTGCGGTCTCAGTGTGACTGTGGATCCAGTGGTCCTTGGCCGTCCTCAGTGTTACTCGATTGCGAACGGGGGTCCTCTCGTTGTTGGTGCACACATCTTTAGGCCAGGCATTGCTCGCGGGCGCCAGCGGCTCTCGGCGCTCGCATGAGGGCTGCTCGGGACGCCTACGCGGAAGTGGTGTGAGAGGGTGATTTGGGGGAAACTTTAGGGAGAAGAATTTTGAGGGAAAGAAGAAAAATTGCTGCTAGTGAATGTAGGGTCGGATAGACAAAATAATTGGTCTTAAAACATGAAGGCTGGGCAGAAAGGCAAATTTGCACACAAAAAGGGAATGAGACCGGCCATAGTAGGAAAAATGAGGGAAAATATTTTTCCTAAATCAAGCTACCAAGTTTCAAATTTTGAAATTGCAAAAATGGTGCCAAAATATCTTAACAACAAAGGCCGAATCTTATGAATCTTAGAGGGTCGGATTCTCCTTTGAACTTGGGCCAAATTATAAGGCTTCAATTTCATGCATTAGGCTTAAACAATTGGGCAACGTAAGTATCACCAAGAGATTTGCACTCGGAAATTCGAACGATTTCGCTAGCAAACAAAAATAATAACTTTGGAATAATTTAAGTATGACGAAGACATCTACAAAAATTATTTAACTCACTAGATTAAATAGATGAGAGCATCTAAATAATCTTAAAGATCGTGAAAGAATTCAGTCGAGCTTTCAGAACAAACAATAAGCAAAAGCCACCCAAGCATAAAAAAAAATAAACCGACTATTAATAATCGAACGAGGCGCTACAATCTATCCTCCTTAAAAGATTTCCGTCCTCGAAATTTTCAAAACACAAAGCTACAAAGGATAATTAAAAACATAAACACCGGATACTCCGTCTGAATCTCGTCTTCGCTCTCCCAAGTCGCGTCACCCTTGCCATGGCGTCTCCACGGGACTTTGACGAGCGTCACCTCCCGATTCCTCAATTGGTGGACTTTTCGGTCCAAAATGGCTATGGTACCTCCTCATATGTAAGGTCCTGCCCGACAAGAAGCTCGTTGAAGATCACCACGTGTCTGAGGTCGTGCACATATCTCCTCAACATCGAGACATGAAAACACATCGTGCACCCATGAGAGTTCCGGTGGTAGAGTCAACCGATAGACTAGTTGGCCGACTTGGTCTAGAATCTTAAAGGGACCAATAAAGCACGACTGCATCTTCAAGAAAATCTTTTCGCCTACCTTGAACTGCAGATCTTTCCTACGTCGTTTATATTTGGGTAGTCGTTTTGCATTTTTTTTGTGTGCTTTTGCCCATTGGTGGTGCAGATTACTCGTTTGGGCTCCATTCATTCCAAGCTCAAATTTTGTTGTTTTGGTTGTTGTACTTTTTCCTTTTTTGTATTTCTTGTTAAATAAAAAAAAAAAAAAAAAGTTGCTTGGAATAACCATACCTTCACGTGTAATAACTTCCTCGTGTCGTTTGCAATGAGAAGGGGAAAAAAAAAAAAAGGTCTCAACCCAACCATCTCGTTCTTTGTTTCTCTTATATACCCACTTGCATCCAATGGCATAAGCGTCACTCGGTGGTCCTACAAGATCCTAGGCCTGGATGGAAATCCATTTACTCCATTTCAGTTTCACCTTACTTTGCCAAGACTCTACGTCACGATCTTGGAGTGCCTCATCATAATTCCATGGGTTGATATCAAGTCTATCCAAGACTGTCTCACAATGACTCACCTTAGACTTTCAAAATGATAAAAGACTGATGCACGGATGAAGCAAATAGACAAAGTGGGTGAAACGCCTGAAAACATAAAATGTGATCATCACACGACCATGCTACATGGACACCTTAGTTGTAATTTCTTGAGATTAATTTCAAAAATTTGTACCTAAAATCCTATCATGGACTGTGACACGGGAAGATCTTATCATGTTGCACATGTGGAACGCTCTTTTTTATTATGAAGGACCTTTCGATGGTAGACATAATCACCCTATATAGAAAGGGGAACATAAGTCACATAAAGAAAATCTTAGAACACTGCATGAATGTATGGAAAGCAAAGAGGATCCAACCATGAATGTGTCAATAAAATCGAGATATCAATGATTTTAGTTTTTTTTTCCTTCTTTTCATTGAACTTTTATTTATCATTTTGATTTCTAATATGTTTTTAGTTCGAACATGAGTGACTATATTATTGATTTAACACGAGAATAGATTAATGTGTTGGGACTTTTTGGTGATTTACTATAATTAATTATACTTTTTGAACTCTATTAAAATAGTTTATTGTGATTCATGTTTAGCTTTTGCCCATTGTTTTTACATATTTGACAATAATAGTCATAATGCGAGAGATGAGTTTAATGATAGGTCATTAATTTTCAACATAATTACTTGCTTGAATCGAGATTTGGTAAGTTATTGTGAAGATGGTATATATTTTGGTGTTATTTGGAATTGAATTGTATGGGTTGAATGGCAGAAATTCTATGGTGCCACATGTGGCACCATATTATATTGCCACAACATGATGTGACACATTATGATTGGTGCCACAACTATCACACATCATGTTGTGGCATCAATCATAATGTGTCACATCATGTTGTGGCACCATAACACGTGCCACATGTGGCACCATAGAATTTTTGGTTGAATGGTTAAAGAATTTAGAAAATTAGGAGTTCACAAATTTTAATTTGATGGTATTATTATCGAGCATTTTGTCTTTTTAATACTTTCCATTTTTCGAATAGACTTCCAGTCTTCTTGTTCTCCTTGCTCCATTACCTGATCCGAATAATCTTATCTAGTCTACTGAGGTAAAACTAGAGGGCTTCTTCTTTCGCCGCTTCCGCTGCTTGGTGTTCCGAGGAGTTCCGGGCTATGACATTTTGAGTCCTCAAATCGATATCAAGAGAAATGATAAGCAAACCATGTGATCTTCTTATGAGGTAGACGAGGAAAGCATCTAGTTTTGATATAACATAAATATATATATATATATATATATATATATATCTATATATATATATATTAAATCTAACTATTAATTGAAACCATAGTCTTAAAAATTTATTTCCTGTTAGTTTCTCCTAAGTGATTATAGTGAATTTTTTATGCTAAATAATTTTTAATATCATTTTCTTGGTTGAAATTAACCATTGTATGCTCCATTATCTAAACGAAATTGAATTATAATCATTTCCTTGGTTCAAATTAACCATTTTCTTGTTCAAATTGACCATTGTATATCATTTTATTGGTTCAAATCTAGTGATTGATATTTTAGTTATTTGGCCTCTTAAAAAACGACCATACGTGCCATTTTACTATAACGGAAGTCATACAATTTTGGTTGAGCTTTTAAAATTGTAGGCAAACATCTCCTCTTCATTTTCACATTTTTCTTACGTACATTTTTTTGTTGAGCTTTAAAATGTTAGGCAAACATCTCTTCAATTTCACATCACCAACACCCACCCATTTCAAGTTGAGCTTTTAAATTTTAGGCAAACATCTCTTCAATTTCATGTAGCTTTTAAATTTTGGTCAAACATCTCCTCAATTTCAATCTTCTGCAACCCCCACCCAACGTATATAATCTTGAATTACAAAGCAAGTAATAACTCAAATAAAATTTAACAATATAATTAAACTTAAACTAATTCAAAAATAAATCTACATTGACAAACACATGAAATAACTAAGAAAGTAAAAAAAAAAAAAATCATTAAAAATCATTTATAAATTATATTGATCGCACTGCAAGAAAACACTTCAATTCCAACAAAAAATTCCAACGGCAAAAATTTCCGTGGAAATTCCAATGAATATTTCAACAAACTTAATTTTATGTTGGAATAAGTGTTGGATGGTTGAAGAATTCCAACGAATTTTTTCCGTTGGAATAGCTGTAGGAATTTATTTCTATAGGATTTTCCGTTGGATTTTAGCTATTCCAACGGCCATTTTTCCCACGAATTTTTATACGTTGGAATATCCGTTGGAATAGTTATTCCAATGGAAAATATAAAGAATTCCAACAAAAAATTTCCGTTGGAATGTAAGAGTTTTTTGTAGTGTCGGTATTAATCTATAAATAAACTATTCATCAAATATTAGCAGCACCATTAAAAAAAAAAAAAAAAAGCTATGCTCAACCCTAGTAAAAAATCCACTAAAAATAAGCTAGGTAGGATCGCCTACTTAGATGACAATTGGCCACTATTGATAAAGCCATTCAACGAAGTCGCTAAGGTAGCTCAATATATGGGTCGGGTTAATTGGATGGTTTGGAGGTCGTACTCTTTCAATAGCTCAGTGAGATAAGGAGACCTCATGGGCCACAAGTTAGGAGAATGTAGGTCTTGGTTTGACCTTTCAATAGCTCAGTGAGATAAGGAGACCTCATGGGCCACAAGTTAGGAGAATGTAGGTCTTGGTTTGACCTCATATCTCTTAGGTCGTAAGAAATAAAGTTGTGGTTGGGACCTGGTTTGAGTTAATAGTAGTTGGGTCACGAGGTTGGGATTGAAACCTAAGGATTTGAGTGTAGTATGGTAAGAGGAAAAAAGAATCCTTCATGGATGAAAAGTATATCTTGCTAAAGGATATCAAATCTTAAGAGACGTCATAAGCTAGGAAAGTTGATTTGGGTAAATCTCTTTCCTAACTATGACTCTTTTGAACATCAAGGCACCATAGTACATTAGGGTGGCTAGGTTATATTCTACATACATCATATATTTTAACATCAAGGCACCCTAGTACATTAGGGTGGCTATGACTCTTTTGAACATCAAGGCACCCTAGTACATTAGGGTGGCTAGCTTATTATCTTTGTTCGCCTATATTTTGTTCCCCGGCAACGACGCCAAAAAATTGTTCGCCTATATTTTTAAAGCTCGACCGCAAGTGTACGACTTCGCTCTTAGTATGTGGCAAGCAAGATTGTATCTCAAGATACCAAATAATTACTATATCACTACAAGATTATGATAGTGTCAACTTTATTTAGACGATCGAATATGAGATGGATTAACTAAACTAAGAAAAATAAATCAAAGCAAATAAAGCAATAACAATGAATAAACTAAAGAACACGTAAGATAAATTTATGGGAATGAGGGATTCTAAAACTGTGGGTTCAATTAACAGTTAGGAT